GTCAGAAACTTTACTTCTCCCATTAAATTTTTATTTTGATGTTATATTTTTCTGGGTTTTTATTTTCGAGTTCTTTTCGAGTGGACTATTTTTTTCAATGCAAATGTTCTACATTGATTGTTCAGTGCGATTCTATTTTGCTGCTTGAATGTGCCAAATTTAGTATAAACTGTTGATATTATATGAGGATTTTTCATTTTTCTGTTGGTGTTTTTCAAAATTCATTTTTTAACTGTTGTATTACAATTTAAATTCAATACTTAATTTTTAATATAACTCGATTATTTGTTAATCATTTGGATTCACAGTCTTTTCTAGCTTATCGTGTTCTGTTTTTATTGCAAGCATGTTTCCCTATTCAAAATTATATTATTTGATTTTTTCCAATATTTACATTAAATTCTAATGTTTCCTTTTGTTTATAACAGTATTAGTTTTTGGTGGACAAGGTTTTTGTAATTTGGGTTCGAGAGTTCGACGAATTGAATTCTTGCCGCTAAAAATTCATTGCATTGGGATAATTTGGTGTTGCTAAGTTGTTTATTCTGTTCAAGTGCAAGGTGCGTTTTGTTTTGAATTTTAATATAAGATTTAATTTTTTGACATTGGTGATATGGTTTAATATTAAGAATTAGCACTGTTCATAAATTTTTTTTCAATATTTTAATTGGTTCAAGGTGTAAGGTGAGTTTTGTTAGCTTAACTCACCTTGCTGGTGAACAAAATTTAATATTTAAGAAAACTCAATTAACATTGTCAAGTTTTAATTAAATTTCTAAACATCATAAAAATTTGATAATTAGTGAACAACACAAAAAATTAATATTTATTAAATAATCCAAATCTACATCCCCGAGAAAAATGATACAAAATTACAAGCGAGAGAAATGATACAAAATTATAAGCAATACTATGAACACGAATCATAAAAATTCGACGCCTATTTAGTGAACAACACGAAACAATAAATAAAATATGCTTAACATATTAAATATACATGATTAAATTCAAGTTATTGGGCAGCTCAGATATCAAGATATATTAAATAAAATATGCTTAACATTTAAAATATACAAGTTTAAATTCATATTTAGTGAACAATACGAATAATGATATAAAACTAAAAATATTACCATGAACACAAATCATACAAATTCAATATTTAGTGAATAGCACGAAACAACAAATCATAAATGGTTGTGCTCCAATAATTCATTGCACCAATTCATAAATAATGCCCGTCTCTTTACACAAAAACTTGGATTGCGTTATTTTTTTCCCTTTTGGATTGCATTAATTTTTTTTCCTTTTACAAAGCTCCAACATTCATGTGTTTGTAATATTCACACATATTGTTAAATATATGTTTATTACTAATTCAAATTGTTTGCTTAGATAAAAAAAAAAGTCAAACACGATGGTGAATGCTAGCTATAAAGGAAAAGAAAAAACAAATGATTCTGTCGACGGAAAAGAAAATACAGATGACCAAGTGGTATGATTGGTCATTTGCCCATTCAAGACTTAATTAATTTTTAAAAAATTTGCTTATTATTCACAATAATATATGTTTCTTATTTACTTTTTAGGCAATCAATAATAATGTTTTAACCAAATATCAATTGGGGCAACGTGTACGTCGGGAACGGGAAATATCAGAACGTCCATCCAATCAACCTAGATTTTTCCCTTCCTTAACCCCGAGTCGCCGCCATCAAACTCAAATACAACAATCATCAGTGAAGAGACCTCGCAATCAATCGACGCCTGTGACCGGGAAACTTCCTTCACTTATAGAAATACAAACAGTGCCAACAAATATCCCGGTGTCAGCGTCTATGACAACAATGCTCCGAGGGATGCCTGCAAATAATCTCAACGGGTCCAATTTTGGTGAAGGAACCTCGACAAATTCGGAATCACCCTATAACATCACTATTTTTGGTCATGTAAGTTATATATGTATAACTTTCTTTCTAATCCTCTCCTATAAGTAATCTCATACATATTATAGTTTTTTCAACCATTTTTACAGATGGATACTGGCCTAGCACGCACAGTAAGCTATTCTTCTTATCATTAATTTTCTTAATTCTTATAGGTGTTCAATTCTTACTTCTTATCACTCAATTTAGCATTATCCTTCTTTGATTTCTAGGTCCAGTTACTTCGTCAAAAAAACGTAGGTGTTGTAATCCGTGATGAACGTGATCTTAACTGCCTTCGCTTAGCTAAAGAGGTGACACGTCAATTGATTTTAGTATTATTATGAACTCTTTTCTACTGTAATAATTCTTAATTTATACATTTTATTTTTTAAAAGAAAAAACGAAAGTCAAATGCAGTGGCAACATCCAGCTCTACAAAAGGAAAAGGAAAAGGAAAAGGAAAAGGAAAAGAGAATATAGATCCACAAGTGGTATGTATGCTTAAATATGTTTTTTTTTTAAAAATATTTATGATGTATTCCATTATTGTTCAACCGCAGACTTTTGTACTACATTTCTTATATCCTAATCCGCTATATAATTTCAAATTTATTCTTTAGGAAATCAACTACAATGTTTTATCAACACGTCAATTAGCACAACGTGCACGTCGAGAACGGGAGAGATGTCAATTAAAAGAACCGACTATGCATGTAATAGAACAAATTGTGCCAATAGAATTTCTAGAGTCATCGTCTATGAACACAATGCTTCGAGGAATGCCTCCACAAAATGTTGAAAAAGGCGTCATGACGCATTTGGAACCACACCCTAGATGTCCTATAGAAATCTCTGAACTTGCTGTAGAACAAACTGTGGCAACAAATGACGTTGGGCCATCTCACGTGATTTCCATGTTACAAGCAATGCCCAATTTGAACGAAGACACCACAGCGGAAGTTGACCAACCTTACAGGTGTTTGTTTTATAAACTAGAATATTTGGAAATCACCATTACATTTTTTAAAAATTTTAACATATCTTTTTAAATATCATGTATGTAGTGTTGGAATCAATCCTCGAACACACGTATTAGAAGGCCGTCATTCACTCGGGAGTATGAATGTACCATGTACTCATTGTCAAGCATTACATTGGATGGCTGAACAATTATCAAATTCCTGTTCAGGACGTCCTCTATTTGGAACATGTTGCTTGCAAGGAAAAATTTAACTACCTCCACTTATTACACCCCCGGCAGAACTTAAAATATTGTTTAGAAGTCGTTTGGAACTTTAAAAATTCAATCCTGTGCTTCAAATTTTTTGTTCTATCGTTTGGAAGTCGATTGAATTTTTGATAGTTATATTTGGTCATTTGACAATATCTGCAGACTTAGTTTTTTTGTGGGAGTATTGTTTTAATTTTCATTCTATTAGTTATGAATTTTGATATTATTTAGATAAAGTTGATTATGAATGTAAAAATCGTAGATTTTGAATCAAAAACATAATATTAAATATTGTCAACTGATATATTTTTTCATATATTTGAATTATTATGTTTCGGTGGTTATAACATAGTTTTTGTAGCATAATTTTTCAGATATTTAAATTATTAATTTGTGAGTAACACCGTGCCTTCAGGCACGGACAATTACTAGTAACCTAATAAAATACAATTGTATACAAAACACAAAAAGTTGTAGCCCAAAAATATTTCAAAAGATTTCAAATAGGAAATTTCTCTATAAGATGATAATGATCTCAACCAAATTTTATAACTAAATAAATAATAATTTTACTACGGACTTGTGATTATGCGCATTGATAGAAAATTAGTGAAAAATTAATTTACATTTAATTCATATACAAAATTTAGAGATTTTAAAAAAAAATTATATTTTATTGAGATATATAATTAGGTTAAAAATGTACTAAAAGATATATAATTAGGTTATATTTTGTGTCTTTTGGTTAGGATTTTGTTTTGGCTATATAAAAATTGAATTTATTATTTCAAAATAATTTTGTTTTTTATTTTTTGATCAACCAAACATCATTCACATTTCATTAAATAGGAAAATTGAAATTATAGTTGGTCAAAAGAAAAAGCCTTAAGCTGGTTTTTTTTTTGGGTGGGTGGGGAAGGGGGATCCAATCCAGCGGGTGTTATGCCATGCCTTCCACCAGAAGTGTTTTACTTTTGGCACAACCTTCATATTCCAAATACTTCTCCAAAGGATAGAATGGACAGAGGCGGAGGAGCTAGCCTCCTGTGGACCCAGTGCAAGTTTATTCCCCAACTTATATCCAGACAGACCTTACAGTAAAAATACCCTTACTATGTGGTCACCAAATTCTTTTATCTTCACCCCCACTAACTGTAACTGGTAATGGGATGGTCTGGGTAGCATTCAATTCCTTCCTGGAGATCACATTAGATAGGCTAGAGATGTTCCATCTACTAAGATTTCTCGTAATAATATCTGCCACCTTGATAATAGAGCACTGGGCCTTTAAAGATTGAATTGCCAGGCTTGAGAGACTGTGGGATCCATTTATCCTCCTACAAACAGACATTCTTACCATTGTCTATCTGCCACATGAGACCTTGATTAAGCAGCTCTCTTATATTTTTGAACTGCATTCTTTTGTATCAATTTTGGTTAAATATTTTTTTATATCAATTATATTTTACCTCCCTAGTAGACATTCATAGCTACGCCTCGGCAATATATATATTTTTTTGGGCTGCATGCTGGCAGAGAGAGGGGAACAAACTGCTAGGGTTGGATTGGATTTGTGAGGGGTCGTGAAGGGGATGGAGGAAGAAGATGATTAGGGTTAGGGCTGGGGTTTTTGAGTGGTTTGGATATGGGTTTAGTTTTTTTTTTAAAATTTATTTATTTTGACTTAGTCAAATAGAGGGGCGGGTTGGATAGATTGAATATGGGCATTGGTTAATTCAACCTAAAGGGAGGGTTTAAGTTTGCTCCTCTTTAAAGCTTCGCCGCGTTTAGCTTGAACAGTTCAAACTCACGGCAGACGATCTGGTGGCGGCACAACCCACATGGCCACGGCGGCGCTTGCCACCCACAATCATTTTATATACACAACAGGCAAGTACTTAACTAACCTTTTTGTCCTCTCTTCACTGTTTTCAGCTTTGAATTTCAAACTCATGAGTCACTGTTGTGTCTTCGTTCATTTTGCTTTTGTTGATTTCATCTATCCATTCGGTTTGTGACAGATTGATTCATGATTGTGCTGGTATGTTTGACATTGAGTCATGTTTGTGAATCCTCAGCCGATTTTAATAGATGGAATTCATGGTGACTGATTCGTATGCTTTTCTGAGGGTCATAATCCAGTTTAGTGCTGTTAATGTGTGTTCTAGGAGAAAGAAAGTGAGCTTAACATTTGGGCTTTAGTGTTATTTGCCAATGGTTGCGTGGTCAGATTCGAATCCACTGTGTCGCAATTAGGAGCTTTACCTATCTTAAAGAAATATATTTATATTTTGCAAGTTAATAGTTGTTAGTCATATCAAACTGCTATTTGTACCTAATTTGGGGGGCTTAATTCATTATAATTGTTGGATGAAAAGTTAGTCTCATTTAACATTGAAAACCATAATAAATTGGGTCTCCAAATCAGGTCTCGTTTAGTTATATCTTGGTTTTAGATTACGTTTTGAATAGTTGAGAACAATGAGGAAACAATGTTTGGCTGATCTTATGCACAATGACTGCCCAGCTCTCTGCTGCAGGCGGTTTTTGTAGCTGGATTTGATGGTTGCCTTACTCATCTGAATATCTACATCTATTTTCCTTTTTTTTTTTGTGTGTGTGTGTTTTCCCCCTGCCCAATTCAAGAATAGTTGACCTTCTACATCAATTTATAGACAATTTGTGAGTTTTGACACTTAGGTTTGAAGTATTTGTCATAAGACTCATGACTGACTAGCTTAGAAACAGAAGGGTATTCATCAGGTTGGTGCCGCACTGCTGCCATTGAACTTGCTCATTGTTTTTTTTTGAGGGATAGGCTGTAGCTAGACAAAGATAGAGAGGAAGGTGATGAATTATAGCAGGTACTTATGACGGATTTCATTATCTAGATGTTCTCCTGGTGCAGCCCATTGAAGCTGTGCCGAGCTTCTAAGATAAGACGTGTCTCCATGATTACGTAACTGATTGCTGGCTGATTCCTCCTCTGTCTGCTTGTAATTGAAAAAAATATTATCCTTTCACCTTAGCACATATCTAATCCTCATTACTTATTTTTGTGTATGTCTTGGTCATCAACTTGCTGTGTTAAGTAGCTTGACTTGCCAGATCAGGAGGGTTGAGTTTATAATCAGGCAAAATATATATATTAAAGCATCGCTTCAATCACAATTTTTATTTATTTATTATTTTAGTGTAAACTCAAGTTGCATGACATTACTTGCAAATCAGGTGCATCGAGTCAATCAATTCATCACTGAGACTCAAGTTCTAACCATTGAACCTATGGTCTCTGATCCGTGATTGATCATTTTGGCATGTCTTTTAGGTTTAGAACAAGCTATGGACTGATTCAAACTGATATATTTCGACCACCCTTCCACTCAACTGCACCTTAGTTTTCACCAGGCCTATGTACAAAAAGTCTGAGTATGTTGATCATGTAAGAAAGAGAAAAAGTCCATTCACAAACATTTTTCCAGTTTTCCTATAGAATATAGAACAATATAAACAGTTAACTTCCGTATAAAGCCTGTCATTAGAAAATTGCAACCGCCCCTTTCAGTTTACGTAATCTGATCTTATAAAAGCCGACTAGATGGTTTGAGAATTTGTCAAATACTAAGCCAGCATATGTTATTGTGCTCATAATCTGGTTTTGTGACCTTGGTGCTGTTATGGTTTTGTGTTGTTTCTGCAATGGTGGATGCAGAAAGAAGCGTACTCCCACCTTCAAATATGCTTCGCCACCTCCACCTCCACCTCCACAAGGTAATTTAAAGGCTGGAAGAGGTAAAAAAGGCAAAAGCAGGGTCAAGAAAGATGGTGGAATGATTGTTTTGTGTGGTGGCGGTGGTTGTGGTGGCGGGGGTTGTGGAGGGGGTTGCGGGGGTTGTGGAGGTTGAGATGATGAAGACATATCAAGTACTTGGATCAAATCATGTCTTGTGTCAAGGTCCATTTGGGTAAATGGTGTTAGCCATGACGTTGTATAGACCATGTTGTTATTTAGCTATCCTATTATATGCATTAACAATGATGTTAAATGTCTGAAATCTTCTCTCTCTATTTGGATCATTCTACGGATGTTAATCAAAATGAGCTTGTCAAGTTTGACCGTGCTCAACTGTCAAACTTATATTTTTGTGAGCATCTGAATTTCTTAATAAAAATTTCAAAAGCTTAACCTGTTTATAATAATCGAGCCTAAAGTAATAGGTTTTTACTTTGCACAGCAAAATTATGCACCAAATGATGTGGCAAAATTTAGTTTGTTAGATATTGGATTTTTTGCACTTTGCACCCTAAAATATTTCAAGTTTTCTACTTTGTACCCATCAAAATTAAATTTTTTATATTGCACTTTTAATGTATCAAAAGTATTATAATGTAACCCTTTTATTAGTTTTCGTTATTTTTTCTATCAAAAGCAACATATTGACATGAACTAAAAGACTAACGAAAAGGTAACAAAAGAGTTATATTGTAACATTTTTGACACATTAAATGTATAATATGAAAAATTTAATTTTTGAGGATGAAAAGTGAAAAAATTAAATATTTTCAGGGTACAAATTAAAATTTGCCCTTAGATATCTTTTGTGCCGATCAACCCCGACTCATGAATTTAACAATTCACATTGATTTGTTGTAAAACTTTGGTTAAAGTTTCGGGGTGTGTGTAGCATTACTACTACTTTAAATGTAAGCTCTTCAACAATTCGTTAGACAATCCTAGTTGAACAATCGAATTTCGAATCAAGTTTTGTGTCATGTGTCTCTAATGAGATAAAAAAAGGAAAATGTGCCAAGGGAGTGTAGGGGTGTTCAACCGACAGTTAGAGTAAGGAGTGGCTACTTTTGTCAGCCGATTCAATTATACTTGGAAGTAGAAAGGACAAACCAAGCTGAATCGAATTCCAAGATCAACTGAATCGATAACTTACCTTGAATGTCGGTCGGCTTAAATTCTAGACTTAAAAGTTTCTTTAGCCCGAGCCCAATTAATTTGTCTAGCAGGTGTTTAAACTTAAATTGGATCCAAAACATCATTTTCAAGCCTAGACTTAAATTCTATAATACACCTAAAATTCATTTGGTCCACGCATAGTTAATTTGTCCAGCAGATCTATAAACTTAAATTGCATCGAAAAATTCTTTTTAAGCCCAAGAGCATTTCATATGCTATACAACATTTGAGGCCCAAACCAATTTGGCATTTTGTGTTACTGTACCATAAATTATTTTATAACTTGTAACTCAATAAAATAAGAGTAAAAATACATCATCATTAAAATGAAAATAAAGTGTAGGATGCAGCAACTATGCAAGTTTGCTTCGAAAATAAAGTGTACAACCACAACAATCAAAGTAGCTAAACCATTTACACCGCCAAAAATCAGTAGTCTAAATACAAAAGTCAATAATCAGTATACTTAAAAAATTTGTAATGCACCATTCCAAAAATCTGGTTCACCATTCCAAAAATTGAGACTCTCAACAGTCAGTCAGTCTCAACAGTCATATAACTTGCAAGGTAAGTAGTGCTAACATAGATTTATAAACAACACCGTGATTCTTAATAAAATACTTAAGATTAAGAACATAAAGGACATACTAAATCACATTAAAAACATACCAAAGATGTTTTTTTTGGTCAAAAGCACTAGCCTAAATACAATCATCAATAACAGTCGCATGAGTTACACTCCCATTCAGTTCTAAGATAAAACATAAAAAAATAAGATTATATTTAGAGAACTAATATTCTATAATAAAGAATAATAACAAGTAGAAAAAAAATAAAACAATATATATGTTACCTGAGTCAAGTTCAATGATTTCCACGTAATCCATTGCATCTCGGTCATCAAAAAGATTTAGATTTTTTAACCAATTTTGTGCACAAACAATTGCCTCAATTGTTTTTGGGGATAATGAACTTCGAAATAGATCTAGTACATGCCCCCCATAGTAAATGCAGACTCAAAAGCAACTGTGGATATTGGAATAGCTAACACATCTTTTGCAACATGAGAAATGATGGGTAGTTTACCGAATTCAGTTTCCACCAGTTAAGAATGTCACATTCTGGATTTTTGGCCTCACAATCATCACTCAAATACTGGTCAACCTCGGATTTAGTCTCCAACTGAGCACTACTTGATTCAAACAGAGCATATATGCGCCAAAAGGTCTGACTAATATCTACAACACTCACACTTGAAGAACTAGGGTCACATAAAGGAGGATTAGAGGCATTTCGCGACTGTACCTCACTAGAATTTCCAAAAACTAATGCATACTCATCATACAACCGCTGAAACACATTTTTTACTTGGCCCAACATTTCCTCTGCCTCATTACTGTTTGCATCCAAGTGTTGTTTGAACCAAAATCATAATGCACCCAACTTACATCATGGATCCAGTAAAACAACAGTAAATATCAATAAATTCATCTTTTTAATGTTTCTCCAATATTTATCATACTTCTTCTTCATACTCATTGCCATGACACTCAACAAAGAATCATGATTCTCACATAGTTTGGGCAAACTAGTTTGAACAATACAAAGCTCTTGAAAAAGTAAATTGCATGTGACATACAAGGATCCAGAATTCGCAAAGTAGAATCATAGAAATCTTTAGAAATTTCACAAGAACCCTCACATTTTCCCAATCAACATACCGAGATACCCTAATGTCCCTTCACTAAAGTAAGAAACATATCGACCATCATCATCCTCTAATCTTCAAAGGCCTTTTGATATTTTTGTGCAGCCTCAAGCACTAGATAAGTGGAGTTCATCTAGTTGAAACATCAAGGCACACCAAAGTCTTACAATCAATTCTTTCTTTATCCACACATCTTTTAAATTTTTTCATCCTTGCAGGAGATGACCTCAGATTCCTCACAGCATTACGCACCCTTATGATTGAATCATTATGTTCTTTTAATCCCTCACTCATGACAAGGTTTAAGATATGTGCACAACACCTCATGTGAAGAGACTCACCTCCTAATATATTACCCTTGATATGTCTTCTTAAATAATCTATAGCAACATCATTTGAGGATGTGTTATCAAATGTGATTGTACAAATTCGATCAATACCCCATGCAAGTAAACAAGCCTCCAATTGTTTCCCAATTGTGTCCCCTCTATGATTAGGAATTAAACAAAAGTTTATAATTCTTTTGTTTAATTTCCAATTCTCATCAATGAAGTGAACAGTAAGACACATTTAGTTAAGGTTTTGAATAGAAGTCCATGTATCAGTTCTGAAACTAAACCTACAAGTCGAGGACCCAAGAATTTTTTGTAACTTATTCCTTTCATTTTGATAAAGTTTGGTGCAATCTCTAACAACAGTTATGTGAGACGGAACTTGGAACTTTGGCTCTAGTGTCCTACAAAACATTTTAAAGTCATAGGCTTCCATAGCTCAAAAAGACAATTCATCCATAATAACCATTTTTGCAAGTGTTAATCTTGAAGTTTCTTGATTAAACTTATGAATCACAACATTGCTAAGACCTAAATCTTCCTCTAGTTGTTTCTCAAACTTAACAATTGCTAACTTTTATTTACATTTCTACCAGGAAATTTTGTGCAGCTGTGGTTCACATGAAATGTAGGGGATGACGTACCATGCTTCTTAAATCACATTGATAAACTGTGTGATAGTATTTGCACTCTGCCCTACGAACTTTGCCTTTCCTTTCTTGCACTTTGAAATGATTCCACACTTTTGACTTCCCTTGTTTTTTATTTTCAAATTTCTCATTATCATTAGTCTCCATAGGGTCACCAATCAATTGTGTAGCATCAGCCAAAGTTGTATTCCCCTCCATCTAAATAAAAAAAATAAATTGAACAAATTAATCATGCAAGCCTAGATATAAAAAAAAAAATCCAAATCAATGAATACAAAAAGGCAAGAATTATATAAACACAAAAAGAGAACATACATAAATAATTTATGGTCTGATATCCAAAAAAATAGATAGAATAATTTATGGTCAGATTCAACCTATAGTCATGAATGTTTAATTATTTATGGTCAGAAAAATGAGTATTAGCTCGATTGTTGCAGAGAGATGGAGTGAAACCTCTAGATCGTTATACAGGTTGAAACCTTTGGATCGTTGCAAAGAGATGGTTGCTTTCAAGCAGTGAGTTTCAAGTCCAAAAAAAAAATGTATTTAAAAAATGTGTATAAGAAATTAGAGAGCAAGGAAAAAAGAGAAAAAAAATGAAAAAAAAAAATTTGATGGCAGTGAATTTCAAGACCAAACAGTGAGTTTCAAGTAGAAAAGGAAAAACTCACTGCTTTCAAGCAGTGAGTTTCAAGACCAATAAATAAATGTATTTAGAAAATGTTTATAAGAAATTAGAGAGTAAGGAAAAAAAAGGAATTGATGGCAGTGAGTTTTCAAGCCGAAAAGGAAAAACTCACAGCTTACAAGCAGTGAGTTTCAAGACCAAAAAAAAAAAAGAGTTTTCAGAGACATGGATAATCAGAGATAATGAAAGAGAAATTTACTAGTCAAAGAAAAAAAGATTGAGATCTGCTTGATAGGGTTGAGATTTACTTCTACTCAATAGTTGATGGCACCATTCGATCTTGAGTCTTTAGATCTGCTCGATAGGGTTGAGATATACTTCTCCTCGATCATTGATCTCATTTTGTGGTCGATTGGTAGATCCATGGATGAAGAATAGTAGAAGAAAAAAGAAGGGATTTTTCCGTTTGTGACAGAGAGAAGCGGCGAAAGAGAAATCGAGATAGTGGAAGTTTAGGGTTAGTTTGCTTCTATTTTTTTATTTTTTTTAAAGGACAAATCCATAGTGTATAAACATATTTTATATTATTATTAAATACTATTCGAGCGATTATTTTGGGTTTGGACTTGAAGGTATATGCAAGTTGAATCGATTTTATTGGTTAATCTATATTTTCTTTCGAAATCGACCCGGAATAAGTATTACCGGCCCATTTTTTGTTCGAAAGGGTCGGTTTCGGTTTGGTTTGTCGGGTGATCGGGTATTTTGCATAGCCCTAAGGGAGTGGGCGACTATTGCATGCTTTTGAATCCTTGAATTTGAAGGTTTGATAATAGCTGGTTAGCTTTTAGGATATTTTTTTTTTTGTGATATTGAAACTAGATCATGTTAAAGTGAATTTGACGATCTATATTTTAGTGTATTTGTCTAACGATTTGTGTTTATGAAAAAGAAGGCACGTTATATTTTTAGTATATCTATCTGACGATTTGTATATTTTTTTAGTGTACTTGTCTGACAATTTGTGTTTATGAAGAAGAAGATACATTATGATGATGTAACTTTTTAAAATGTGTTTAAATTAGGTGATTACATTATCGTTATTTTTACAATTTTTAAAGGAAGTTAGTTATATTTATAGAATATGGTTATCTAGTTTTGATAGTAACGATGGATAATGATAATAAAAATTCACGTTATTATTTAGTTCTACAAATTTTAGATAGTTAAATTAACAGTTACTGTCTCAATATCATTGTCATGTGTTACTGTTGCTGTCTCGCTGTTAGTGTCCATTTTATAATATAATAATTAATGTCATTAAGCATAAATTAGTTTTTATGTATTTAATTATCTTTTAAGCCTCAAAAAGTATGCGCATGGACCAATCTATACTACTTCTAAATGTTAACAAAAGTGAAAAATATTTGTTAGACCAAAATAACCTTAACAAACTAACTAATGTCTATCCTACTTTTTTGTAATTGATAACATTATTATATCATAATAATTATCACAATTATTTTATTATTGATTACTATTTAAGTTTTGGATAAACAATCTTGACTGTTGGGTTATTAGGATTTTAATATTACAATGAATAATTACAATATTAACTTTTTCCACATACTTACATTGAAAACCTACAATTAGTGACCTTTTATTTTCTTCCACAAGTGTCTCTCTTTATCTATTCTCATTTTGCATCAATTTATTAACCAAACTCCCAAAGGAAGATGAAAGTAATCTAGGGGAAATGAATCATCATTGGTTGTTTTATCTTTCTACCTTCCTCATCTTAGACCTGGTTATTTTTTTTATACTAGTATGTATGTATTTTTTTTTTGTTATAAATGTCAGGATCACCATATCTACGGCTCATATCTTTGAAAAGAATTTCCCTTTACTCCAATATGCTTAGTTTGGAGTGTCTTGAAGTTGACTTGAGTAGAGATATGGATACGTGAATGCATGTTTCTTGTGGTTTCTATGTGAAATCTTAAAGGATTTGTGTCATTTTTACCCGTGCAAGAGGTGTTAGCACTGTTATTGAGATTTGTTGTTTTCATACATATCAAAACTTATATATGTTATTAGTAGCTTCATTTTGTTACATTCTAAAGGTTATGTTTGATACTTTTGAAAACATCAATTAAAAGTTGAATTTTAATTCTATATCTTGATTCATAAGCATATATTTGATAACATAGTTGTTACATAATTTCAGCAAAGCTAAAAATATAAAAATAAAATTATACTTCAAAATGCCCCATGTGCAATAACTAGTTGTCATAAAAGTTCACAACTGTAGACTGACCGCCAATTAACCCAAAAAATAAAAATAAAAAACTTAGTCTAGCACAACAACGACTCAAATCGCTTATCGTTTAAATCCGATGGTTTATATTATGATTTAGATTTTAACTTTTTAACTATAATAACTCATTTAAATGCTAATCTTTTAATCACGATATCTATTTTAACCTTTTAACTTCAATAACTCATGAAACCGTGTATTAAAAAAAAAAAGTGTGTTGCACGATATTATAAAAGGCATTGGGTGAGAAGCAAACAATAGATCTAATTTGCGCATACAAAAGCCAGAGCTACACATGCACTTGCAATTCTCATTTATCCACACCTGCATCAAATTTGCCAAGTCTTTCATGTCACAAAAATCATCCTTTCAAATTGAAGCTTTGAGGAAGACTTTGGTCTGACCATATTGTTGGTTGTTTAAGATACACATGTTAAGAAAAAATAGAAAAAAAAATTGACTAATGCTACACAGATAAAAAAAATTTAAAATTAAAATTATGGACCAAATGATGTGTTATTAACATAACTTTAAATTTTAAATATGTAAAAGTGGGACCGACAACTTTATTATGGTAATATCATATCATGTAGTTCATAATTTTGATCCCTATTTTTGGCCATTGTTATATCATTTGATCTATGATTGAAATCTCTTTTTTTAGGCGGTGTAGCTGTAGCATTACCCTAAGTACACGCACCAACGAACCTTCCCACCATGTTTCCTAGTGAATACAAGAACG